GTGTGTGAGTGAAAATTCCACAAGATGCCAATGACTCTGCAAGGTTAAACGCAACCGGCAAAAAACTGCAGCTTGTCAGTTTTACATTTCACTCCCATATCATCCTCATAAAGATGGGCCACAGCAAAGTACTGCATTGTGTGCAGATTTTCATAGCTCACTAAATCCAAGTACTTTGCCACATAAATTACTACATACTCACCTCCGCGTTAGCAGTTTCATGAAGCAGAAGCTGTCTATTTTTTTGTGTGGCTGTAAGAGAAAGCTTCATGCAGAAAGATTGTTATTATGGGAATAAACCACCCTCTATTGTAAGTAACAGTGCACCGGGGAAATGCAGTTTATCCCTTAAAAGGTGCTCTTTTCGTCTTTGTAGAGGTCAAAATCAACTTTTCCAGTAAATTCCTTTCTTATCTTCCATCTGGCTTTTCATTGCTCTGCTTATTTGCATAAAGAAAATGAAAAAAAAAAAAAAAGCTTTTACAATAAAAGTGTTGCTGCTAGATTACTGCTAGCTTTTATGTCACTGCTGGTTTTTATTTATTTTTTTTATAAAGCAGTAAGTAGTTTAAAAAATAAAAATATAAACTGGACAAGATAGACAACTTCCATTGCAGTTTTTCTTTGCTGTCATGGTAGCAGACTGGGGGCTATGTAGGCTAAGTTTTACATCATTCCATTTTCTATTGCAACTTTAACATATATGAAAAATTCGTTAAAGATAAATGTTATGTAAGGTGACAGGGAGATGAAAAGAACATTTGCTGGAATGTATTTGCTTGGATTTTTTAGTTTTGGGAAGTTTTAAAGCTGTGCACAGGTTGTTTTCAGAATATTTTGGGAGATTGACAACCAATAAAGTGTATGTCAGGGCAGAATAAACAAATAAATAGTCAGTACAACTCTGCAATACATACATATTTCCCTATGTTTCATCCCATTAAAGGCAATGTAAACCCTGTGTTGATTTTGTCATTTTGTGGTATCATTTGTTGCCCTGTACGCACATTCTGTAGTAAAGTAAATCTTCACATTCCTGTGTCAGAAATTTCTGTTTGTGTTCAAACATGAATCATTTTGGATGGCACTGTATAGGTTAATGCATGACCTCTGTAGTCTAAGGCCCCATGTACAAAGGACACTTCTGAACGATGGAAACTGACTGCTGGAAAATGTAGGTTAAAAAACATCTGTTTAGCTGCTTTTGCATAACCCGTTTATGTGCATTTGCATTTAGAAGCGTTTTTTAAAGATAAGCACAGGAGAACCTCCCAAATGCCCAGAATGCACTGAAAAGTGGTAAATTATTAACTATTTCAGACTTTCAGAGAAATACACAGAGTAGAAGCAAAGACAGCAGTATGTGTTGAAATTAGCTTAGGTGTGAGTTGCTCATTAACATTTCTTTTGTTTCCAAGGGTGGGAAGGTGTCTGGTGGAGTGAGTCATTAAGGCCACCTGGCAGGGGGTCTTCATAAGGAATTTGAGGTGTGAATGGTCATTAAGATATCATTTGTTTCCAAGGGTGGGAGAGGTCTGAGCTGTGAATTGGTCATTACAATGTATGACAAGCTTGGTAGGAACATCCTGTATTCAGTTTTTTGTCCATCTGAGTACTTTGAAAATGCTTTGCATGCATTTTTCATGGTAAAAAAAGGCTCTGGACAGCATTGGGAACTGGAAGAGTTAAAATAAATTTTGAGACACAAACGCTTATAAACACGATTTGCTGCGTATAACCACATTTACAAGCGTTTTGCTTTTGAAAGGCTGAAAAAATTGACAGCTGAACAAAAGTTTTCTGCATTCCAAAAAATTACTGTAAACTCAAATGCCTGTAAACGACTGTAAACGAAGATGTGTACATGGACACATAGGAAAACATTAATGCGAGTTCACGGGCTGCTGAAAAAAACTCTAAACAGCTCCTAAACGTGAGTTTATCAGTGCAGTGTACATGAGTCCTAAGAACTGACATTTCCTGTGAAGAAATTACATAGCCCAAAATCCCTGGATCTTTCAGTCCAGCACTAGTGCAGGTGAGAGCTAAACAGTAATTAGATCTGACACAGACACAAATGGGCAGAGCAATTAACAGTAATAACCATGCTGGCAGAGGTGTGTGAATGTATTATGCAACACAGAGAAAATGGTTAGGCATGCATTGGATGCTATATGACCTAGCAAAAAAGTTGCCTGTCCCCCTAGTGAGCAGGTACAGGCTAGCTGCAGCAATACATAGACATAGGAGAATTGATCAGCCATGACACTACAAACAGCAGCTGATGAGCTCACCATTACAAGTTAAGACAAACAACCAGCACAGGGAATAGAAATACACTAATATCTAGGTAAAACAAAGAAAACATTTGAAAGTGTACAATGCCATAAATACACTGCAAGTACACAGAGATACCTGTTTATCTGCCAGAAAGGCTTTGTTGTTGGCTGACCACACACACAACCTGTTTGTAGACTAAGTAAAGGCTGGTCTGGCTTTATTCTATCTGATCTCTATAACATAGAGCAGGGGCGGACTGACCATTCAAACACTCGGGTACTGCCCAAGGGCCCGGGGTCAGTAGGGGACCCCATGAAATGCCCCTGGTGGCTTTTTTGGGTGTGCTTTGAGTGTGGGAAAGGACACGGGCCCCATGATCCCCTATTGCCAGGGGGCCCCATGAGTTGTCAGTCCGCCCCTGACATAGAGACTAATAATTTTGTAGTCCAAGATGCGATCTAGGAGGGCCCTTTGAGATAACACAAGAATTGTGCAGAGGACACAGGACAGCTCTGAATCTGTGACATGGTTAACAGGTATTTTGGCCCTCTTTGGCACACTTCTTTCAGTGCTATATTTACCAGAATAAATATAAACAAATAAGTGACATTCGTTGTTAGGGTTTACATTCACTTTAAAGGATATGTTCACCTTTTAGACAAAAATAATAAATGCACATTTTTTTGCAGGTAAAAATGCATTTATTATTTTCATCTACAGGAGCCTGGAAAGCATTGCACCAGTGATCAGTAAACTTCTAGTTTACTACTGCTCATGTCATCAGATTGGCCAATCAGTGATCACATGATTGGGACCTCACACAGAGGTCCCGTACAGCGATCAGTGTTCCACTGTGTCCGGAGGACACAGCAGGTACCGGATTGCAGTGCTGAGCACTCCCAGGGAGCGCGCACAGGTTGTAAATGCGGGCCCAGTTTATGAAAGGCAACCTGCTCCTGCACTACTCCCATCTGGCCATTTATGTACATGGGCCGGATGGGAAGTGGTTAAAAATGTTTCATCTTGGAGCTCGGTTAGAATCCCTATTAGAATAATTTCTGTGGACCCATTTGGATGTAAACTGGCAAATTTAAGTTGCAAAACGATATACTTACCAATGTGCACAGTCAGTAAAAATCATCATTCAACACATTTATCACAATTGCCTAGATCCCTGGTTTATAATACAATTCTATGCCAGTTGAAAAAAAGAGGGTAGCACACCATTGGTATCATCTACCAGAACTTTATTGGAGACTTCTCAGACAGAACACCAGGGCAGTGTCCAATAAGGTGACTGGATTCAGTGCCGGTCTGCACCTGCCCTTCACAGCTTAAGTCCTATGCTATTACTATAACCAGTAATAATAAAATGCAGAGGCAGTTATTTAATATGATAGAATAGATACATTTAGTCTTACAGATACAGCTGGCCCTTTGAGGGCAACCATAATACTGTTGCAGCCCGTGATGAAATTGAGTTAGACATCCTTGATCTAGAGGAAGATTTTCCTTTTTTCTCTTATATTTTATCAATTTTTCAAGAGGCTGTACAAATATACTGAAAATGAGGCATATTATATGACAGATGAAATGTTAAACACACTGGGTGAAAGTAGGGAAAGAGAAAACATATATTCAGCATTCAACCAAAAATGTGAGAAATAAGTGTCAGAAGGTGAAACACATAAGTTTAAAAACTGATTGACTGGTTAGGGGGCAGGGGAGTCAGAACCTCTAAAGGGTAGCAGTCAGAAGGGGGATATTTTAAGGTGCATTCTGAGGGCTCTATAACAGAAAAAGACAAGGCGTAGATCAGCAGCAGAGGGGTGGTACCAGCTGTAAGGGGGGGGGGGAAGCAAGAAGATATGAAATGTGAAGAGACCAGGGGGATTTAGAAGGGAAAGGGAGTGAAAGAGTATATGTGAGGGGCAGCCAGGAACCCCGATTGTAAAGTCATTATTGTATTATCAGCGTAGGGAGTGATCAAAGTTAAGGTTATGGTTATAGTCCAGCCAGGGTGACCATAGGAAATTTAGAGTGAGTATGTTTCAGTGAAGAGGTTAGATTCTCATGGATCATGGTGCCCATCGCCTTCTGCTTCACTTCCACAAAGTTCAAAGTAGGTTGTCTCCAAGTTTTAGTTATAGTTTGTTGTGGGGAAAAAAGATAAAGGATATTCATTTTCTTTCATATCTGGTGAGGGAAAAAAATTAAGTATTCCTCAGTTTGCAAACAAAATTTTATTAAGGACAGTTCTGATCAAAATGTATACTTCTGTTCATACTTTTTCTAGGTTGGGAATGCTAAATCCACCAGAAAATGTATGGCAATATAAGACATGAGCTGCCAGTCTCTGTGAGTTTTAGAATGTTCCTCTCAGCATGAAGGATATGATTGGAAATCAGTAAAACCCTGAATAAATAGAGAAGCTTGGGGAGAAAGGACAAATAGGTTTCCTTTCACTTTCCTGTCACCATCAATTAGGCAGGAAGTGAGGTAAGAACTCTTCAATGCAGATACAAATAGCAATGAATTGTATGTATATTAGTAGAACAGTTAAAACCTTTCTAAAATGTTAATGCTGTTCATCAGGGGTGGACTGACAACTCATGGGGCCCCCGGGCAATAGGGGATCAGGGGGCCCCTGTGTCCTTGCCCAAACTCAAAAAAGCCTATGAAAAAGTTACCAGGGGCATCTCCTGGGGCCCCCTACTGACCTCGGGCAGTGCCCGAGTTTCCAAATGGTCAGTCCGCCCCTGCTGTTCATACTTGTATGTCAGGGTGTCACATGCACAACACATGCATAGAAGTTTTTCTTGAAAGGGCAATAACGAGTTCTAACTCTTTCCCATGCTATCAAAATGTCTAAATTTGCAGCTTTTTTTTACATTTGGAACTTAATTTTCACTTTATTCATCTGTCTTCTGTGCTTCCATGCTCATTTTATATGGATTTATTTCCCGGCTGCGGCTCAAATCAGGTAATCTGCAAATGAGTCCAGCCTGAGGGCCATGACAGAGACAAACTGGCTCTACTCGGCCAAAAAGTATTCTCCACCTATACAGATGTATAATTGCATTTCTGGGGCCCAAAAATTAGTAAGTGCAATCTGACCTTTAAAATACCGTTTCATTGGTTTTAAAGTTTAAAACTTTTAAACTAAAGTGGTTTGTTCCTTTTTATTGTATCTTCAGGCAGTGATTCTAAGTTATACCCTTTCTGCTTAAGCATTGCATTTGCTGCCCCTTTTTCAACAAATACATATTAGTAACCAATATTTTTCAGCATACTCTAATTTTCTTAGCCAAATTCTTTTGAGAACATAAAGGACAGTTTGATGGAAATTCAGCACACAGATATATCTGCAAGCCTGTACCGGCTCTTGGCCATATAAAAAAAATATGCTTTTTCAGAAAGGACTGAGTCACATCTCTGACTTCAGTTAAAAATGGTAAAATGTGTGCAACAGTCAATAAATGCAAAGCCACAAGTACTCAAAATATATATAAATTACAACATGTTTCAACCATGTGCTGCACTAGATCTCAAATGCTAAATCACCATGTGTACCAGTTATGATATAAACTGTACTGTAAAAATGCTATGAAATATATTTATTTCAAAACATCATCCATAGAAAACAAATTTATAATTAACTATTGTGCATCAAAAAGTTTTTTAAAAAATAAACATACTGTGCAAAGTCCACTTTCTGTTAAAAACAAATGTGCACCACCAACCTCTTACGGGCAGATGGTCACCTCCACTTCTGACCTTCACTACAAAGGTCTAAATCACATAGACATAAGGCACCAGGACTCAAGTAAATCACATGGAGAAAGCCAAGAATCAAATTCAGCCTGTGTGTGTGTCACCAAAGATGCTGCATAGAAGAACCACAAAGTCCAGCTCAACCTCTGCATCAAAATGGCCATACCATCCAGGGAATCTTTCTCTAATGCACTCAAAATAAAAGGCAAATAATAGTGCTCACCATCATAATGAAACCTCTTTAATAAAGTTTAAAATACACTGATGTGTGGGGGATGAGTGCTTTATCATCACTACAAGCCACTTAGCTATGCAGTGCTGTCCAGGAGGAGAGAGAGCCCAAATCTGCGATCATAGTAACTCTGTCCACCGCACTTTGTAATGTCTGACATCATCAGGAGCACGATATGAGCAATGTAATGTACACTCTATATCATAATTGGTACATGTGGTGATTTAGCATCATAGAGATTTGAGGTTTAGTGCAGCACATGGTTGAAAAACATCTCTGACTTATTTATCTATCTGTGTTTCAGCTTTAGCTATTGAGCTCTATAAACAGCCTTTTTTTTTTTCTAATGTTACCAAAAGTATTGGGACACCTGCCTTTACACACACATGAACTTTAATGGCACCCCAGTCTTAAAAAAAAAAACATATTTCCACGCAAAAAAATGTACCGCTTTGAGCACAGAAATATGGACATAATCAGACTGCTAAGGAGGTTAATGGCATCCCAGTCTTAGTCCGTAGGGTTCAATATTGTGTTGGCCCACCCTGTTGGCTATAACAGCTTCAACTCTTCTGGGAAGGCTGTCCATAAGGTTTAGGAGAGTGTTTATGGGAATGTTTGACCATTCTTCCAGAAGCGCATTTGTGAGGTCATGCACTGATGTTAGACCAAAAGGCCTGGCTCGCAGGCTCTGCTCTAATTCATCCCAAAGCTGTTCTGTTCGGTTGAGGTGCAGGCCAGTCAAGTTCCTCCACCCCAAACTCGCTCATCCATGCCTATATGAACAGTGCTTTGTGCACTGGTGCACAGTTATGTTGGAACAGGAAGAGGCCATCCCCAAACTGTTCCCACAAAGTTAGGAGCATAAAATTGTCCAAAATGTCTTGGTATGCTGACACCTTAAGAGTTTCCTTCATAGGAACTAAGGGGCCAAGCCCAACCCCTGAAAAACAACCCCACACCATAATCCCCCCTCTACCAAACTTTAAACTTGACACAATGCAGTTAGGCAAGTACCGTTCTCCTGGCAACCGCCAAATCCAGACAGATCCATCAGATTGCCAGACAGGGAAGCATGATTTGTCACTCTAGAGAATACGTCTCCACTGCTCTAGAGTCCAGTGGCGGCATGTTTTACACCACTGCATCCGACGCTTTGCTATACACTTGGTGATGTAAGGCTTGGGTGCAGCTGCTCGGCTTTAGAAACCAATTCCATGAAGCTCTCTATGCACTGTTGTTGTGCTAGTTTGAAGGTCACATAAACTTTGGAGGTCTTTAGCTATTAACTCTGCAGACAGTTGGCAACTTCTGTGCACTGTGCACTTCAGCATGCACTGACCACGCTTTGTCATTTTAGGTGACCTACTACTTCTTGGCTTAGTAACTGCAGTTCATCCCAGTTGTTTCCACTTTGTTATAATACCACTAACAGTTGACCATGGAATTTTTTAGTAGCAAGGAAATTTCACGGATGGACTTATTGCACAGGTGGCAACCGATCACATATGAATTCACTGAGCTCCTAAGAGTGACCCATTCTTTCACAAATGTTTGTAGAAACAGTCTCCATGCCTAGGTGCTTGATTTTATATACCTGTGGCCATGGAGGTGATTGGAACACCTGAATCCAGTGATTCGGAGGGGTATCCCAACAATTTTGGCAATATAGTGTGTATATATATATATATATATATATATATATTGAAGCTCCATTTGCTGGCTCAGAAGGAGGATAAAATATTATTCATATGCAATATTTCATATTTACATGACCTACATTCTTACCAAATTGTATCTAGCCCTGACCCTAATAAATACAACACCATGACTTTTTTCAGGCATTTCACTGCCCAACGATGGCAGGAGTTGATCAGTGCTTTCTCTGTGAGACCCCTACATTTAGGAAAGTATGTGGGCAATACTATTTATTCACTTGAAATAAATATATGTTTATATTTCTTTGGGAGATGGTGGAACATGGAGTAGTAATAAAGAACCATCCATACTTACAAGCAAAGTGAGATTTAAATAAATACTTTGGCCAATATATGAAAATCATTCTCCATTTATTCCATCCATTTTTTGTTTCTACTCTTTTTTTTTTATTTTATTCACATATTTCTTTGACAGACATTATTTATCCAGTTTCTTTTAAATGGTGACACAAGTGCCAGATTCCTAGATGTCTGTCTGTTAATAAGGTAACAGTGATTCTATACAGACGCATTTTAATGAAGACCAATGAAATATGCCTTTATTTTTCTGTCATACAACTTTCATAGAACATTTGTTAGCATTCCTAGTTTCATTTTCAGAGAAAGCACAAAGCTAATCTAGCCAGTTAATAGAATTATCTTAGACATATGGCCAAGCCAAAGTGACATATTTAGCTGCAAGAAAGTCAGTGTAAAATCTCCAGAAGACCTTTGTGACAAATGCTGATTTTCATATGGATCTGAAGTACTTATCAGCTGGCCTTGCTGCCAAAATTCTTGTGCACATCATATCTAGAGTGTATCTGTACAGTGAAAAAAGTCCTAAGTCATTCAAACTAAATATTTCCATACAAGCATTGTAATGTGCCACACAGCTATATAAATTATGGTTGGGAAAAAGCAAGGACAGTCTATCGGTTTCATCATCGTCTGTATGCATTCATTTAACAGATGGCACTCTTCTATGTGAATGATAAAAATACATTTGACCTCAGTCTCACATTTGCTTCCTCTTTTCTTTCTAGCTGAATGTTGAGTGCTTTATTTGTGTATGGTTTGCTTTGCAGCATGCCGACTTATCTAGAATTGTATTTGCAGCCTTAAATATTATTTGTGTTTGTTACGTTTTATACATCTTTATTATGTAATTTATTATTGGCGGGGTATCAAAATTGTATATAAAAAAAAAATCTTTAGGACCCCTTACACATTAACATGCCCTGTATTAGGACAACACAGTTTAAATTAGACATTTACATTTAGAAATTTTTAAACACACAACAATGGACCAGTAGCTGGACCGTCCTTTTTTATAATGCACTGCAGCACAATGCATGGCATATGGGTTATGCTGTTGGCACCTTCTGTACATGTGGATTGGGGTGTCATTGTTTTTATTTTAAAAAGATACAAGGATTTTAATATGTAATAGAAGACAAGTTATCTCATAGTAACCAGTGAAAAGTTACCTTTTAATTTTCGGATCAACAGTGAAAAAATTAAATAAAATCCTACTGGATTCTTTTTTTTTTTTTTTTTTTTTTTATAATTTAAATATTTATTAAGTTTTTCATGTTAATACAAAAACCCAAAAAGGGAAAAAAATTCTCATACAAATAAACATTTATAACATTTCTATCTTTCCCTTACTAAAAACTCTTTTCCTTCCCCTCCCACTACCCCCCCCCTTCCCTCCCCTCATCCCCCTCCTCCCCCTCTGCAGACTCTAGCCCATTCTACTCTCTTGAGGCTTGTTCATTTTTTACTAACATCCTAATTCATATTTTCCTATATTTCTCTTTCAATCCTGCTCTTTCCCACTTTTCCCATCTCCTATAATAAACTCTCATCCTATCTTCCTGCATATGATATGATCTTTCCATTCTACCTATCTGGTTTACTCTATTTATCCAGTCTTCCTCCTTCGGTACCTCAGCCTTCCACCAAAACTTAGGTATCAACCCTTTCGCCGCATTCAAGAAGTATCAAATACCTGAATCTTTATATTTATTTACAGATGTCTCCACGTTGTGTAGGAGGCACGTCGTTGGGTCTAATCCTATGTCAATTTCAGTTATTTCTTTAATCAATTTGACTATTATCTTCCAAAAAGTCTGGATTTTCGGACATTCCCACCATATGTGAAACACCGTGCCCATCTCTCCACATCCTCTCCAGCACTTATTTGAATTTTCCCCATTCATCTTGTGCTCTACACTCGGTG